GAAAGACGTGACTTGATTGTGGATGGCTAAATCGTTGTTTGTGCTTTTGAGACTTGAGATTTAATAAGATTCTTAGCGTTCAGTAGTCATTTATATGTAACCCGGGTATGATTTCTCATACTGCGTCAAAAGGACAGTTTAGCTATAAAAAGGAATGTATTATAGTAAAGTTGTTAAAACGTTGTTGATGAGTTGATGATCAGTTACGCACGAGTGGTGCTAAAAAACATTGACGTAGCAGTGTCCTTCCGACATGGCAAGAGAGTGAGCATCAGATGCCTACATCCAATAATACATACATACCAGGTATCTTTATAAATAATAATGGTATTTTTTCGCCATAAGACCTGGCATGCTCCTCTTCATGAACAATTATGTTTAACTTAAAGGTTTTCAACATATGTATATCTTGTGTTGCGGGGGACTTTACAAACATACATGAAACGGACACAAAGAACACCCAAATTGAAAACAACAATTTGTGGATCACACAAAGTGGTGTCCCATGTGGGGATCGAACCCACAACACTCGGTGCAGTAGGAAGCAGCGTGGCAACCGCTTAAACCACTACGCCATTCGTGCACTCAATTACGCTCATGCAAAGACCGCAAGAGTAATAATGTAATTATTTATTAAAATTTTATGCACTTTTGTACATAGATTTTGTATAAGTTTAATTTTTATGTACTATTTCACAAAACAGAGATTGTTGCTATTGTATGTGTTGATCTATGACTTTAGAGTCTACACAAAAGACGATTTCAAACAATTTTATTTTTTTTATAAAATAAACAGAGCTAGTTTCTGTCGCCAATACCCGCAAGTTAAAAGTCACAAGTTTGTTACCGCCCTGTGAGTGCTTACCTCTGAGTTAGGGAAGTGCTGCTTCGATAGTCTCACGCACTCGTTGAAATGCAATGAGATTTGCTTAATACCAACCCATTTGCTGAAGCAGTCTCTCCCTCAGGGTCATCGATGCTTATTAAATAAGAAAAAAGCTATTTATTTTTAATGTATGGGATTAAAGAAAGCTTATTGTCTTAATAAAAAACTATAAATAACCATCATAGCTATAAAAGTATGAAGTAAATTATTATAAAAATAGCTTGTCTAATATTAGGTTTATTGAAGCACGATTTCAAGAGAGTAATATTTCTTGTTCGTTAACAATCAAGGATTATTTAAGGAGGAAAGTTCAAGTTTCATACGTGACTGGACTACGGAGCCTACGGCGGATTCTCACTCTCTCTCTACTCACTCTTGTCAATTTCAAATATTTTATTGTGAGCTTTAAAAGGCATCTGAATTCATTAACTACCTCTTGATTTCTTTATCTAGTCAGGATTCTTCACTCTGAGCTTTTTTTTTTTTTTTTTTTTTTTTTTAACGTGTGGAAATCCCCTCGGACCGTCACCCCTCCGGGGTTTGCGGCGGGGTGGTGTGTCGGACTCGGACCGACTAAAACCACACGGTGTGCCACTCTGCGCCTGTAACAGGAGGGATCCGGGAACAGCTGTTGTTAAGACATCCGGACCCCTCCTAGCGCCAGCCCGCTCCTGGTGCGGGCTCCGTCTCAGTGTTTTTTCCTCTCTTTATAGGCGACGTCCGGCACACGCGGACGCCGCCCCCTCGCGACTGGCCAAACTAATGCGGGTGGAGGGGAAACCCACCCCGTCCACCCGCGGCCACACTCAGGGCGGCATGAGGCTGTGGTAGGCGGGCCTCCGCCGCCCGGTTCGCCGGCGGACTCTGAGCTATCCCAACCTCTTTTTTTTACTTTCGAAACAAGTGCTTCGTACTCTCTTCATGAAAGTATTTTGTATGTTTAGAATAGAATAAACGTTATTGTACACCATTTTTTTTAACAAGATTACATCAAATCGTAAACATACGGCACATGGCGGCCTTATCGCTAAAAAGCTGTTTCCTGGATGGACAAATCGACTGAAAATAGACGAATTCTAGGTAAAAATATTTAACATAAATTGATGTCTAGAAAACTTGACACAAACCCTATACCAACCCGTCTGGCCAGCGTGGTATAGTAGGCCAAAACCTCCTTTCTAAGGAGAGGCCAATGTAAAACAGTAGACTATTAAATAAAATAAAATAATAAAATAAAAGCTGTTGATGATGATGATGCTATCTAGAAATTTATGTCTCATGATTTACGAGAAAGAATGGTAGAGAGAACTTGTTATAGTCATGTACTTAGAGATTTTTGATGAGCTTACTGCTCCTTAAAAGATTTCTGACGATATTTCAGAAACCAATAATTATAATATAATGCAGTTGTTAACCTTAATTAGGGGTCGAGCCGGCAACGAATTTTTGTTCCTGAAAAAATTACAGTAGTTAGTAAGGTCTGTTACACGTTCATTTAGTTTCACGACTTCCAGATATAATAAAATAAAAATATTCCTACTTCAGTGCCATCTAACGAAAACACACCGAACTAAGGAGCAAGTAGTACTAATCCTGTATCGATTATCGATATGAAAACTATTTACGCTGATTAGCATAATATATACAAATTCCCAACATCAATTGTTGGGCAGCTGCCCACCTCTACGCCAAGGCACCAGCCTCGTCGTAGGATCCTTTTTAGGAAGAGGACGTTTAAAGATAGTAATTGGTCCTTACTCTATCTAAGTATCTACATCATGTTCAGTGTCTTTAAAGAAATTACGTTTGGATTAATTACGTTAAGTTTTACCGATGTATTTTGTCGATTTCTTACGTCACGTCAGTAAAAGTTTGACCTACATACGGAAATTCCACAATAACGTGTAAACCCATTGTTGCAGATTGAAAATTGACTCCTTTGATTGTTTTTTTTTTGTCTTTATGAAATTATCCGTTGTTATAATATTTATACAGCTTTTTTTCTATGTATTTATCCTTTTTCATATCTCAAATCAAATAAATTTAGTTGCATGAATACAAAGTTCTAAAAAAATACAATCAGTAAACAGCATATTCTGCCACAAGTGGCGTACAAATCTAAACTTAAAAAAGAAAAGTTTTGATACAGGGAGCTCAATGAGCCGGAGAAGATCTAGGGTTTAAGACTGTCATTTAAATAATCGTTAACTTTATAATAACATTGTTTAGATATAATTTTTTATATACATCCGGCAGTTTATTGTATATTTTTAGGGCAAAACAAAATAGGAAGAATTAGAATCTCTTTCTGTGTAACAAGAAAAGTAAATATACCTACTCATCATGCTACTTTAGTTATAATTATACAAATTTTATTTTGCTTACATAAAATATATATATAAGAATTGTTACACACGTGTACATTTAAAAAAAAATGGGAGTCAGGAACACCCCAAACGTAAATCAGTTATTTATGATCAACAATTATTATTTATCCTGCGTGGGAGTCAAACCCGCGACCTTAGAAGATGCAGTCGGGGTCACTAACCACAAAACCAACAGGCCAGTCATAGTAGAAAACATAGTTAGTAAGTTGGTTAGTTAAATAGTTAGTTAAAAGTGAAACTAATTAAAGCGAGTTAAAAATACAGTTAAGTACAGTACTCAGAAGGTACATAAAAATAAATCTCTTTTATTTCTGTGTCGTTGTATAAGAAATGACCGGCAATATGCAGATTTGACCCAGAAGTCTTGTAAACTAATCTGAACCCAAATCTTGACCAAACTATTTTTACTTCCATTTTCCAAAAAAAAAAAACATTCTATTTGTCTATTGTTACCAGGAGTTTGTACTTATTATGGCGTCATGCATCGGTAAAGGGTTAAACATGGGTTAAACAAGGAAGCAGAGCTATTCCCATTTCGTTGGCACGACGGATAGTTTCCGCCGTGTGATGAATTTATCATTGTACCAGGAACAGATGGACGTATATGGGTCGAGTAGGGTTACTATAATACATCTAGTTGTAGGACACGACAACGAAACAATCAACTTTAAAAAAAGTATTACAAGAACTGTTTTCTTCATCCCTTAATTTTCTTTAAGGTGGTAATTTTCTTCAAATTTTAATGGGGCAAAATGGGAAGTAAGCACTCCTAAATAAAATAAAAAAAAAGTGTGTGTGTCAGCTTCGACGCACGACTGGAGATTATTCCTTAAGAACGCATGTGTACGTTGACTGCACACAAATTTAGTGATCAGTGCCATCTATGTAAATGTTAGTAAAATAATTAGAAGTCAAGTATTAATCGCCATTTATTTTGGGGTTTATGCCGTTTTAAAATAATTTTAATTTTGTAGTAGACTACTCACTAATTTGAAACACATTGCAATCATACAAATTATAACAAACTTACAAAAAATATTATTACAACCACGTAAAAGTAAATAGTTGAACCGCCATCTATAAATAACATTTAGAATTAAAAAACGTAACTAAAACGAGGTCATTCGATCACTAAATTTTACTGGTCATATTTTTTTCATACCTATTAAGGAATAAATGCCAAAAATGAAGAGACAATGAGGTAACAAATGTAAAAAAAATACAAGTGAATTCAAAATCTCTTATTTTATTTGAAGTCGGTCAAAAATCGGTCAAAACACGAAACACCGGACATGGGATAAAAAGAAAAGAGATCGTTATCACTGTATTTATTACAACTTGTGGAAGTAGTATGATGTGATATGAAAATGTATATTTTAGTGACTACTTTGGCAGCACCAGCAGTCCTAGTTTAATGTGTAGAATTGCAGTAAGCAATAAAACTACGAGAAAAAACTGTCAACGAGTAGCTAAGGAAAACTAATCTATGCTGTGACTCTTAAACGAATTTAAACAAATGTAATCTGCATGGTATACTCGCAGTGATAAGTAGATATGCTGAATTTTGAGATAGTATTCGGTATTTGGCATATTCAAGAAATTTTTGATATCCGTCTCCGATCAAATTATATATTCAGTTCTGACGCACAGGATCCATTAATAATGGAATTTAATAAGCATCGGCTTAATCACTATTCTGTACTTTACTGCATTATGGTGTACTAATAATGATATTAAGGATACGTACACTCAATCCTTTATCCCTGAAAGGGTAGACAGCGGCCAGTTACGTAATAGGAGGCAAGCTTGTTTCCGGCAACTTAAGCACACTTTAGGAAAATGGTGGAATATTGGAAATTCATTACAAAAGGAAAAGCAGTTAAGAAGCCAATAATATAAATAAAAATAAGGAGCAAACAAATATTGATGGAGAAGTGTAAGCTCGGACAGGTCAGGGTCATCTGTAACTAGAACTAGCTGTTGCCGGAAAGTGCCTGACCCTTCCAAAAAAAAAAAATAAGCCGAGGATCGATCTAGGTGGCGTGCAATCTGAGAGGCATATGTCCAGCAGTAGACTGCGATAGGCTATTGATGATAATGAACTGACCCTTCTAAACTAGTATTAACAAGTTCACATAATTGGAAAAAGTTTCTAATTTGTTTTCTTTTTTCTTCTCAGGTTTTACTGGACCGGCGCAGCAGTCACTTGGTAAGTTGATAAATCTTCTGTAACTAAACTGCTAAAATCGGGTAATCCGAAAATTGAAACAAATCTTTTAATTATGTCACTGACCTATTGGCTTCTAGATCATGTATTAAATACCAGGTGCGAAATTCATTTACTTTTGCTACGGATAGTTTTTTTTTAATATTTGTGTATATTCGGAATAATAGTTCAATCTTTTACATTGTGCACAGAATTTAGTAGTTTTGAAATAATACTTACTTACATAAGCAAGGACGATATAAATTTTGACAATAATATTAACAGTCGTTAGAAATTCTCTCGTCTTTGTTTTCAGTAATTTTTATTTGGTTATGTTATTCGCATTTCACACGTCTGTGAATCTTTCTAATTTAACCAAATAAATATATTAATAAAATGACTAATTTTTTTATTTTGCACGCTCTCAAATGGTGAGAACGTCTTACCGACAAGAACTGAAACTCAAAAGAAAGCCAGAATGTTATTTCTTCTTTATGCAAAAATGAGCAAAAGATATTTAAAGTTAACCTGTGTGTAACAGTCAATTTCTTAAGTGCAAGAGTTAATTTTATATTGGAATCTTTTTCTTTTCGTAAATCCAGTTTGTGTAAAAACATATACCTAACTGATTTTGACTGACGATTTAACGTTTCTGTTTCTTAGTAAATTAGGTTATAAATCTTCGAGAAGAAGATTATCATATAACTTCTTGTAAATATTATCTCTCAATAATTCACAATTCCAACAAAAACTTAACAGTCTGGTCATCCTACTACTTGCATTTGATATTGCACCTAAGAATAAGCGTGAAGATACGGTGTTTGATCTCGTGAACAATTAGCCGCTGAATTGATGTTTGTTTTGAACACTCTGTGTGTTTATTCTGTCTTAATGGAGCTTAGTAACTGGTATGATTTAAAGATATTAGCTATTAGCGAGAAGTGAGAATGGATGTAACTATGTAATATCATATTTGTTTTCCATTCACCTTTCTCTTATTAACTGGAGTTGTGTTTCTAGTGATTGGGGTTGCTAAAATACACATCTCATCATCATCATCATCATCCCACCCAGAACAAATTATACCTCTGGTCTGGTTACCATAGTACAGACTGCCTAGTTTAGGATCAGACGGCCGTGTGTGAGATGTGTGAGGTTATTATTATCTTGATACCTTTTACCCATTTGGGGTCGGTGCAGTGAGTTTTTTTCTTCCATTCTCCATTACTAGTTATCCTCTTTTACACAATCCTTCATTTCATTGCAAAATCGTTTTGTGTTTTGCTTTTATGGCCGGCCGCCTGAATACACTTCTCTACACGAGTATTATGTTGTATGGATGAAGGCTCGGTAGCGTTCTCTCTTCTTTATGTTCTACTAGCTATACTTTCATACTTATATTAAAAATGTGAAAGTGAGTTTGTTTGTTACGCTTTCACGTCTAAACAACGAAACAAGTTTAATTATTTTTTTAAACATACTTTATATTACTATGTACATCATCTTTATCATTCTTATCACAACGACATTATTATAAAGCAATAAAACACATCAAGTGTTTTGTCGTCGTATAAACGTCAGGTTGACATCATTAATCAATCTGTGATATTGATATGACAGCTGTCAACTTGTGTGCCGTAGTGTCGTTTATTGTTTATTAAGGCTTTTTGATAATTGACGCTCCACCAATTTGCAGTGCCAATACAAAAGACTGTAACTCCACTTACAGTGTTTTGCCTTAACAACGCTCAATCAGTTTCTTTACGTCGGTTTAGTACCCCTGATCTACACTTTTGTTATTCTAAAGTGTAATTTAGAAGAAACAATAATCTAAAAAATACTGTATTGTATTGAAATTAGGGTTTTAACATGTTAAAAAACTAACAAAGCTTACAGTATTTTGAATAAACAAGCTCCTCACATTGCTTAGGGTACGGTAATAAGAGTACAGTGTTTTGGACCGATCCGTTCACTCGCATGTTGATGCCGTTCAACCAGCATACTTGACCTGGCTAAACGATAATAATTCCATAATCTTAGAGAACAAGGGGGTTATGGCTGGCCTGTAGTTGGACGGATCAGCGCAGTCACATTTTTAAGGGATCGGGCGCACAAACGCTACTAACGCCTAGGGAGTAGGAGTCGAAAAATGCGCGTTAAAACTTATGCCAACTCCGGAGCACACGTCTTCAACACGATAGGGGAGATTCGGTAATTTAAAAAAAATACTCGGCTATGTAGTAGATATATCATCAACAGCCTTTACTAGTCCACTGCTGAACATAGGCCTCTCCTTAGAAAGGAGGTTTTGGCCTACTATACCACGCTGGCAAGACGGGTTGGTATAGGGTTTGTTTCAAGTTTTCCTTCTCTCTGCAGTGCTGTTGTCCTGCGTAGTTTGCTTCCTTAGTCGCCTCTTACGACACCCACGGGATGAATAGGGGTGGTGACACTCTGTATTCTTAATCCGTCACCACACAGACAATGTAGTAGATATATACAACTAATTAATACATGTGTATGCTGCTGTTCCGATTCTACTACATACCACTAGCTGCTAGCAGGGCGATAATCCTGACTCTTATGAACGTAAATAGTCGGAACGACACGATTGTAATTATTTTCAGAAGGATACTATTAGGTACCTTTTTAAGCATGAATATGTTTTCACCAACTCTAAGTTGGACAACAAGCAAATAAAAAGTTTCGTTATCGTTGTCGTCGTTTGCTAATAAATAAAATTGTATACAATATATATATTTATAACCTATATTTTATAACGTGTATAGGGTATGGCAAAGTAATGTTATCTAAAATGCCATAGACCTTTTAAAGAACCCAGTTGACCTTAACCATTTATTTGAGAGCCATTACCCCTAAACCCTGCGTGACTCGGCGATAACCATAAACATATAATGCCATAGCAATAAAATATAGTTGACTATAAAACAATTTTCAATTTTTCATCGGATAAGCCAATGTTGGACTTTTGTATGTATTTCAATATTGCTTTTGGCATCCATTGTGGATGTAAGAACTGAGGATAATGGTTTATTAAAGACTGCTCTTCTCCGCAATTTGGCCTTCCTTTACGGTCACTGCTTAGCTTTGATTGATGGTAGCGAAATGTTATATTTATACATATTAAGACTTGCACTGACTGACTAAACCGCTGAGACGACAAAGTTGATGCTTTTTATGTTATAAGAAATGAAGAGATTTTCGGAGATTTCACCAGTAATTGGGTAATTTAAGGGATGAATGGTTGTTTGAAGGTTTGTCATTTTCAAAGTTATAAAAACAAGAAATAATCATGCGGGTGAAGCCGCTGGCAATAGTTTTTATAACGTTCGTCATTAAAGAAGAATTTTTGGAGCGAAGTTGCTTATCGCGCGTTACGCGCTCTGAGCGGATGAGCGCGAGAGCGAAAAATGTATAACAAGACGCTATAGCAAACGTCTGCCAAAAAGCGAAAGGAACTTCGTTCCGACTTGAGGACCATAGACCCCTCACGCCGTTTTTTTAATCTGTCTGGTATATTCAGGATTAACAAATGTATGTGTATAAACAAATAAAAATTAACTAACGGTCAAAAAAAGTATCACCAACTACAATGCGCCTATGTCATTGTGCTCTGTTGACTGCCTCGGTGGTGCAGTGGTAGCGTATGTGACTGCTGCGCTGAGGGTTTGGGTTTAATTCTCGGGTCGGACCAAATGTTTGTATAATCTGCACATATTTGTTTCGGAGTTTGGGTGCTTTCTGTGTAAAATATGTAAGTATTTATAAAAAAAAAAAGTATTCTATTAATCTAGCTGTCATAGTACAAGCTCTGCTTAGTTTAAAACTAGATGGCGTTGTGTTTAAGTTGTCCGAAAAAAATATATTATTAGAAATATAAAAAAAAATAATAAACTATTTTCTTCGTTCAATCTTAAACAGTTTGTTACATTTTTTTTACCGGCTAGTAGACTTTCCCAAATAAATAAAGAATTTTTCAAATCGGCTCGTAAATATTGTAGTTCTGAAATAACAAAAATAAAAAGAAATACAATCCAATTATTTTTTATTAGTTTATTTATTTACATCAACGACTAGTTTACTCCTATATTTAGCATAAAAATGGTATTGGTGCGTTAGTTTACAGTGAATTTGTCACTTAAAGAAGTACAGAGCCCTTACAAGGATGCAGTTTTAGAAGATGTAAATATGCATAGAAGTGCGTCTATGTTTCTGTTCTAGTTCGATTTTCGAAGGTATTCGACTCAAACTCAAATATCTTTATTTCATTTTTAAATCGTCTCTAGACTCTAAAGTCATAGATCAACACACACATCATCATCATCATCAACAGCCTTTACTAGTCCACTGCTGGACATAGGCCTCTCCTCAGAAAGGAGGTTTCAACACACACAATAGCAACAATCTCTGTTTTGACTAGAATTAGTCTCAAGATTGACTTCTATATCAAGACGTAGCTGTGATGCCAACTCTTGATATACACCTTTTTATACATCTTTTATAGAAAGAATTTAATATAGACCAGTTTGCATAAATTGAATTACTTATTCCCGTTATAGCTATGCAATACAATTTGTAAGATCTTTGTACTCATTTCATTTTATTTCTGTACAATTTTTCGTATAAAAGAAGTAGGTACGCAAAATAGGTCGAATTTTTCATTTAGGTAAAATCAAATATATACATAAATTAGATTACCTTATTTTCAATTATTTTATTCTCGACATGTCATGTGTAGTTTAAAATAATGATATATTTTCAGAATGTGCTATGAATGGCGCATTTTGTGGTCGACTTGCATTTACTAACACCACCATTATGTATAGTAAAGTACAATAGACATTTATTACTTTTTAAATAGATTTTCCTAATAAATCAGCACTCCATTGCGACGTGAGTCGAAATACGTACCTAACCCACATGGTGTTCAGTTGTATGTCATGGAATTGCTGAGTACCAAAAGTTTATAGTATTAGAGAGGC